GAGAAAAGCATCTGCCGGGAGATGTCTGGGGACCTGGAGCAGGGCATGCTGGCTGTGGGTAGGTGTCTGGAGCTTGGCTTGCCTGCCTGCCCACCCATGGGGCAATATGGACTGCAAGCTGGGTGCTCCATGTCCCATGGTTGAAGGTGATGTAGTGAGAGAAGGTACAGAATCTGAGCTTGCTAATCTATGCTATCTGGCTGGTGGGAATCTGTGAGCTCCCAGCCTCTGGGATAGAGGGATCTTGTGTTTTTGGTAAAGCTCTGTAGAACGGAGCTACAGCATGGACATTAGTGGAGGTCTGTCCAGCTGCTCTCCTGGAGGAAGGTGACTCACATCCTGCCAAGTTTCCTCTAAAAATACACCCCTGCAGTCAGTTGTTAGCTGCCTGTGATGGGGAAACACATGGAAAGATTTTTTTTTTTTTTTTTTTAACTTGCAACAGCAAAACAGTATCCATTCTAGGGAATGTTGGCTCAGCTTCCAGCACGGGGAGAGCCTCTAACAGCATATACCCTCCACAGCAGAAACCTCCCCCGAATGTGGAGTTGGGTTTTTGCCCTACAGCCCTCACCACTTTTATTTCTACTCGCCAGGGCATATCAGTTTGTCCGTTTCTTTTAGTATCTATTTCTTGGATCTTTCTAACTAGAACAAGCGGTAGATCCTCATTTCCCTCATGACCTGAGAAAAACACTACATCCCCTTGGCCTCCCTTTCTCCACGAGGGTCTTCTGTTTGATCCCCTCATGCCTTGGCATCCATGAACTTGGTGCCTCTTCTCATTATTTAGCCATCACTTTCTGCACAGCCTGTGTTTTTTGCAAAGTGATGCCAAGAAGGAGGTTAGGTTGATGGTCGGTCCTACTTTGTATGGAGCTACATTCATGGGATCACAGCTGGCAGGAAGAGAAGTAGATGGGTGGTGGCAGGTTTGATGTCCAGGCTTCCTTAGAAGATACTTGGGTAGCGTGTGCCCTCCTGTGTCCTACAGACCCTTGTACTGTGTGTCTCTTGCAGTGAAATGCTTAAAGAACACCCCGGCCTTCTTTGCTGAAAGGCTCAACAAGGCTATGAGGGTATGTAGATCTTGTGTGCAGGGGACCCTAATCCAAGACATCTTAAAGCCTCCTGGGTCTAAGTGGTGGGTCCACAGGGGCTGAGTATGAAAGGCACAGGAGAGGCTGGGGCCTCAGGGAAGGTGGGAGGATGGGGGTCCCATGTGCATACTCTGTCTGGTTGACTCTTCAGGGAGCAGGAACAAAAGACCGGACCCTGATTCGCATCATGGTGTCTCGAAGCGAGCTTGACCTCCTGGATATCCGAGCAGAGTATAAGCGGATGTACGGCAAGTCACTGTACCATGACATCACGGTATGAGCTTAAGGGCCAACCAGGCCCTCCCTGTCTCCTCCCCCTCTCCACTAGAGCCTAGGGCTTCTTCATCCACTCACCTCCAAATAGATCACAGGATCCTGTAGACAGGGCAGGTCACAACCCTGTGACCCTATGTGCCCACCGTCTAGGACTCCAGTACTTAATAACTGAACAGGAGTGTCTGCCAATGGCATAGAGAAATCTCAGGCCCTCCCTTACCGTGTCACTAACCTTGAGAGTCCCCTGCCCACTCTGTGATGGGTGCACTCCACCAAGGAGAGCTCGTGTCCCAAGTGTCTGGAGCTCAGCTCGTTTGCTGGACTCTAGCCTTCTCTCCATTCACTTTATAGTGGAAACCACCTAGGTAGCTCAGCCCTTGGGTCAGCCTGGGTCTGGCATCTGATCCTGGCTCATGACCCTTGAGCATGGTCTGAAAACCTTCCAGGCAATGGCCCAGTATCTCTTAAGGATAATAGTTCCTCCACAGGTGTGGTGGCAATCTCCACAGACACTGGGAAAGAAACCCTGTATGCCCGAGCTGAGTGGCACTAGATCCCCAGCACTACATTGTCTGATTTCAGACTCACATTTGATATTGTTGGGCTCCTCTTTGAAGAAAAGCTAATCTCCATTCCTGTGCTATGAAGATGAGGCTATGGGTAGCAAAGGATTTGTCCTTACTGTCATACTGTGGCCTGGGTACTCGTAAGCTGTGACAGCTAAAGAAGCCACAGAGCTTGTCTTCAGAGAGCTTAAGGTGACAGAAAATGATGTGAAATTCGCCAACCCTGACTAGCACTCGTGGAGAGAGCACAATGGTGTTGGACACTTCTGTGAGAAGTAGGAAGCGGCACAGTAATGGTGTCCTTCATGGGCGGTCACAAAGATTTGTCCAATGACAGCATTGCTTTACAGTAGAATCCCAGTGTACATGCTCTAGGCAAAGAGCAGTGCTGATTAGGCCTGGCTGGTGATTCTTAGGCTGATTAAAATGCTGTTCTAGATGTTTGTTTATTTGACTTTGATCATAGGTAAATGATACTGTACGTGCATGTGGAGGCCAGAGTAAACATTGAATATCATTCTTCAGGAGCCATCTAAATGTTGAGTTTTGAGTCTCACTAGGACCCGAGACCTGCCAGCCAGCCCCAGGGATCTGCCCTCTCCACCTACCCAGTGCAGAGATTATACACACAGGCCATCATGCCTGGCTTTTGGCTTTCATTTTGCATAGAATCTGGGGACAATACTTGTTCAAGCCTGTGATCTCTACACTGTGGGTTCTGAGTGGGGACTCTCACTTAGACAGGCCTGCCTCTCCACAAGGACACTTGGGGCCAGAAAGGAAGTGGCCTTGCCTCCCTTGACCCTCACTCTTGTTTCTGTAACCAGGGAGATACTTCTGGGGACTATCGGAAGATTCTACTGAAGATCTGTGGTGGCAATGACTGAGCGTGTCTCACCTCTGCCCCCTGCTGGCATTGGCCAGGGAAAGGGCCAGAGAGCATCCATCAGTTTTCGTAGTCTATCCAGTATCCCAGGCACACCATATCTCCCCAAGAACCATGACCTTTTCTGTCTGAGCTCCTCATCCCCATACCATACCGAAAGGGCCCAGCTGGGCCCGAGTTCTCAGGCAGCCATCTCCCTGGCCCTCTTAGCCTTTTAGTGTTCAGAATAGATGTTTTTCTTTCCTGGCCTCTGCAATCATTCCTCATTGCTTGTGACTAAGACTCTTAGCTTTGTTGTAGACATGTGATTTTGTATTTTTATTTGAAAACTTTTTTTTTAAACCACCATTGCCAGACAGATAACATATAAGTGTGTTTACTATATACATGTTTCTCAGGAGAGTGGTAAGTGGGTGGGACACCCCATCCTTGTGAGAGTACTGTATCTGGTGAGAGTTGTATCTGGTGAGAATTATCATGAGTTTTGTTTTTGCCAAACTCCTTTTTTAGAAAAAGGTCAAAAAAAATTAATTGTCCCATCTTACATGCAAAACCATGTAAGAATAAAGCCAGTCCCTGGCCATTGGCTGGGATCCTTCTAGTTTGGAATGTGCCTTAAACCTGAATGTCTGTAGCCAAAAGCTGTTTCCAAAATAAAGTCAGCCAGCTCTGGAACATTCTGGAAATGTCTCTCTGGTGCCAGCTTGTTTTCTTCCATTTTATGACTCAGAGATTCCAGCCCTGTCAGCCAGTGAAAACGGATGTATTGAACTAGAAACATACTGTGGAAATCCCAAGCATAAGCTACCTGGCAGGGATTGTGTTAACTTCCAAAAGATGCTCTCTAGATCCACACAGGGCCCAGGTAGTGACAAGCACAGGTACCCGAGCCAGATGGTGGTAGTAGTTCCCTGAGTGAGGTAGGCTGGTCCTGGGAAAGGACAAAGGCACTTACATGGTTTCTGGGGTGGTCTCAGGGAAGCCAGTGATGAGGACAGGAGCAACCCAAGCCTCCAATCAGAAAAGCACTTGGCTCTGGCCCTGCAGGCTCTGCTCCTTGGTGTTCACAGAGGGGAACTATCAGGGACAGTGTCTAGTCATGTCCAGGAACATAGAGTTTGCTTTGCTAGCCAGTGGTCTCCCCTCACTTCCCCCCTGTTAGAAACCTTAGGCTGGTGGCACTCCAGAGAGGCAAAACCTCCTGGGCCCTGGCCAGAACTCTAGAGAGGCCACAGCTGAGTACCTGGCTGCTGGAGTACCAATCCTCATTTCTCCCAGTTTGAGGAGGGATGACTCTCAGTCACAGTGTCTGAGCTCAGCACCAGTGTTGTGAATTACATTAATAGCCCAAATGTGCACACACCCAAAGGCCCATTAACAGATAGATGAACAAGGTGTGGCCTCTTGATATTATTTAGGCATGTGGAGCGATGACACATACTACATCGTGGATGAACTTAGGAACTTGTCTGCTGAAAATATGATTCCATTCTCAAAGCTGCCCACAGTAGGCAAGTCCCGGAAGGCGAATGGTTTCTAGAGTGCTGGGTGTGGGGAAAGATAGGAAGGGAAATGACTGCTGCATGCGCTCAGAGGTCTTTCCTTCCTGGGTGCTGAAATGTCCTGGAATTAATGGCGGTGGTGGCTTTGTAACCCAGGGAACATACAAGAAACCACAGAATTCATGCAGGTTAAAATGGTAATCCCAGCTTGGTCTACATGATGAATCACTCCTCCCCTCCCCCCACAAAGGTGAATTTTTTTTGTCATATGAACTTTGTTTACTGTGTCTAGATTCCCAGCCACAGAACAGGATTCTTTAGGGGCACACAACCTCTCACCCCCAGGAGGTGTGGGGATCACAGGAAGGCAGAGACTCTGATGGGGGGTTTGGCTGAATGGGACCCAGGGGATCGTGTGATTCTGGGTGGCACTGGCTGCTGTTTTGTGGCCATGGTTTGAGTAGCAAAGTTACATAAAGGGCCTTTTGTGTCCCATTACCAGTCTGGGTCTCAGGTGCCTCACTTCGTGTGCCTCAGGCTCTGGGTTTTGTCCCAATAAAGTTGGAAGTGCAGATGTACAGATTACCCAGGTATTCGGGCTAGAACAGCTTGTATGGCAAAAAGAAAGCTGGGGCTGTGGTTACAGAGGTCACCGTTAGCAAGCACAGGAGGCCTGAGTAATGGCTTTTATTTTACACAAAGGTGGGCCAGAAGGCAAGAAGGCCTGGCTTGGTTCTCAGAGGGATGACTTCAGCTGCCAGGCTCCACTGCCCCCTGGTGGTCAGAAGTGATCTGCAAGAAAGGGGGAGCCCTGAGTGAGCAGCAGAGGATGCTGTTGTACCCAACGAGGTCCTCACTCCAGCCTCCCAGTCCTTTGGGACAGCAGTACCAAAACACAACCCAAGACAGGAGCTAGGGATAGTCTGAGCTCTGATAGGATGCCAGGGCCCAGCATGCCAGTGGGTGGTGACAATAGGTGAATACTCAAAGACTGATTAGTACCGCCAACTCTCTTCCCTGGGACTGCTGCATAGCATCCCCTGAGTTCTGGCTCCACCAGTGTGATGGAGTTGCCAGGGGCCCTAGATGACCCGCCCAACAGGTGTTGCTCTGTCATCTGAGCCACTCACCACCTCCTAGCAGGTCTGGTTCAGGGCTGAAGGGCCCTGGGGGTAGATTCGAAGCCAGTTCCTCCAGTAGGCCCAGGAGGCCCATCACTTCTGCCTCCAGGTGCTCAACTGTCTTCTCCACTGTCTGGAGCAGGAGGGCAGGGCAAAGTCAAGCACAGGAATTGGGCCAACTTTAGCTTAGTGATATCCTAGAGAAAATCCACTGTGTCCCAGGCCCCAGCATAATGCAATGAAGAGGGAACTGGGTACTATGGAATCCTAGCCCTCACACAGTCTCTGCTCATTTTACCCAGGTAATACCAGGCTGCTCCCTTCAGCCTCTTAAGGATTCTCCTGTCTGGCACTCCAAGGTGCCAAGCTTAGCACAGGCCACCTAAGCACCTTTCTTTGTTTGGGACTTGGCAGTAATAGTACACATTTCTTTTGTTGTGCTGCACCCTAGTGGCACCTTTGTTATACAACAGGTTTGGGATTTTAAATTTTTGTTCCTAGGGATTGCTTAAAGGGTGTGTGTTGCTACAGATCCTGCTGGCAACCTAATAAAGTTCTTCTATTTTTCAAGACAGGGTTACTCTGTGTAGTCAAGTCTAATCTGTCCTGGAATTCACTCTGTAGACCAGGGTGGTCTTGAACTCACAGTGCTGGGATTAAAGGCCACCACCACCACCACACCTCCTGGCTTCAGAACAGTTCCTTAATGCTTAAAATAACAACTACATTACAATAGCATTCAAATGTTAAAAACTATATATTATGACTTGGAGGTGGTGGCACACACCTTTAATCGCAGGGCTCAGAAGGCAGAGGCAGGTGGATCTCTGTGAGTTCAAGGCCAGTCAGGACTCTCAGACAGAGAAACCCTGTCTAGAAAAACAACAACCAAAAAACAAACAAACAACAAAAACAACCCTAATATTATTTTGATTGCTGCTGTCTGTCTATAAGCTCAAAAGTCAGATGGAAACACAATTAGCACAAATTCCAGGCCAGCTTGGGATATAGAGCATGATTTTTCTCTCCAATAATTATTTAATCATTATCAGAATGAGGGGGTAGAAAGGCCAATGTTAGTCTTAGATGTCTCCCCCCTCTGTGTGTAGGTGTGTGTAGGAAACGCTCAGCATAGTAGTGTGTTCTTTCCTTCCACTGTAAATTCTGGGGATTAGGCCCCCAGTGGTGGCATGCGGATCTCTGAGTTTGGAGACCAGCTTGGTCTACAGAGTGAATTCCAGGACAGCCAGGACCACACAGAGAAACTCTGTCTTAAAAAATCAAAACAGAGAAGAAAAAAAGACCTAAGAATCAGTCTCAGGTCATCAGGCTTGATGGCTGGCACCTAGTGAACCCTCTCACAGGCAGAATCTCTTACCGGCAATAATTAGGTTAGGCTGACTATCGAGCCCCAGAAACTCTCTGGCCTCTTCCTCTCTGGTGCTGTCACGCCACTACACCTAGTTTTTTGTTTTGTGGGTCCTGGAGATGGAACTTGGGTCCTTAAATTTCCATGGCAGGTGCTTTACAGACTGAGCTATTCCCACCATTAGCATTTTGCTATACTAGTCTATGTACTTATGAACTCACTAAATAACATAATCTAATATCAGGCCCAGCAATTGCTACCATCCTTGCAAAATGAGGGAGAGGACATGCTGAATCAGGTTATGTGGGTCCATGCCTGTTGTTGTAGCACTTAAGAGACAGAGACCAGGAGGATTGCCATGAGTTTTAGGCCAGACTGGTTTAATAGTGAGTTCTAAACCAGCCATGGCTATATGATGAGTGAGACCCTGTGTCACCAAAAAATAAAAGAATTAAAACAAACAAACAAACAAAAAAAGAGTTGGCAAGGTAATTCAGCAGGTTAAGGCGCCTGAGTTAAATCCCTGGGACACATATGGTACTTACCATAAACTGTGATAACCTGAGTTAAAACCCTGGGACACACAGGACAGAAGGAAAGAATTTAAAAGTGTCCAGCAATCACCAAGTGGAGGTGTTGCACACTGTTTTACAAAATTTGATGATTGAATTTCCACCTTCCCCCTACTTGAAAAAAATCTTGGTCTGGGTATTAGCAATGCCTCCCGGAAGGTAGGGTGTGTCAGACATTGCTCAGCTGAACATCCCAGTTAGAACAGACAGTATTTTACTGGATGGCTTGGGAACAGCATTGGCCTGGGTTTCCTGACAATTGAACTCCATGAAGCCTCCAGCCTGGCAGAGAGCGGAGAAGCTTCATGACCCTTCCCTCCTGTGCCCTCGTTACCTCTTCCATGATATTTAAACGGCCTTGGACAGCCCCATGTCTGTCACAGCCTTGGCTCCAAGCTACATCTTCTCTGGAGTAACTGGGGGACTCAGCAGCTGTAGGGAAAACAAGTCTTGTCACTATGGGGTCATTGGTTTCCTTGTGGCACTAGAGCATCCTGTACAACACCAGGCTTGAGTGAAGTGGATGATGGGACACCACTGTAAACATGCTTGTCTCCAGACTCAGGAGGCCTTCATCAAGGAGGCGGTATCTAGGCTAGGTAGGTTTGGCTGCTTGCACAGATTTGAGAGAAAGACATCTCCTTGGACAAACCGTTTAGGGAACTGGAACCCCTGTAAAGACCCAGGCATGTGGGAGATTTGACCAGCGAGAGGTCTTGAGATCAAAGCCAAGGGTAACACTTTGACCCAAGGCCTCCGTGAATCTCCATGAATATTTGGAGGGGGTGTTTTGAATTTCAGATGTAGGTGTAAGGTATGTAACTTTGGAGGGAGGCAGTGGGGACAGTGATCCATGTGAGAAGTGATGAGCCAGACAGTAGCAGGCAGAATCCAGGGAGGAAAGTAAGCAGCCTTAGCACTAGGATCCAGTTAGTCTGAGCGGCTGTGCAATGTGAGTCGTGGTCCAGAAACAAAGGCACGGGTGAGAGGTCACGTCAAAGCCACCACTGGTGAGAGGAACAAAGGATTAACCAACTGTGATGGCTGTTTTTGGTGTCTGTAAATCCCACCTGGTAGAATAAGGCCACTACCACAATTCTGAGCCAAATTTGAAGCAAGTTTTATTAAATACTGGCCAGGATGATGGACATTGGCCAGGCCCACACTAGGGATTCCCTGAGTATGTTGCCAAATTATGTTAGGTGCTTATAAAGGCAGAACCCACAAGGCTACATACTTCAAGCCTTTGTAAAGTTGGGACAAGAATATATACTGACATACTTCTGTCTACATACCTCCTTCCTATGTGTGATCAAGCGCATCCTGTGCAGTTGGGGCAATCAACCTTGCTTACAGAAGTGAGAACACGTGGCTTGTTATTGCATGTGAACAACAGCTCCCAGCATTCCAGGAAAGTGGGGCTTACAGCTTAGAGGCATTTTTTTGTTTTGTTTTGTTTTTTTTGTTTTTTTGTTTTATTGATCCCTAGACATCTTGGAATTCACTTTGTAGACCTGGCTGGCCTTAAACTCACACAGATTCACCTGCCTCCTGAGTGCTGGGATTAATGGCATGTACCTCCATGCCCAGTTTTTATAGATCTCTTAAGCACAATAATTTAAACTTAAAACATAACTTTAACCCTCACATTCAACTTGACTACACCTGGAATTATTTAAACTCCAAGCACCTGGACACACCTATGAGGGATTTTTCTTAATTATTTGAATTAATTAATTTGAGGGAGGGGGTCCAGACAGGGTTTCTCTATAGTCCTGGCTGTCCTGCACTCACTCTGTAGATCAGGCTGGCCTCAAACTGAGAGATCTGCCTGCCTCTGCTGCTCAAATGCTGGGATTAAAGGCATTGGCCATCAGCCACCACTGCCCAGCTTAATCATTATTAATCAGGATCTTTTGAGGTGCAAAGATCCATCTGAGCCCCACCCACCTTCTGGCAGCCTATATAAAGGACATGGAAGACAGCTTGCTGCTGTCTTTGCCTTCTTGCTCTCACTAGCAAGTCCAATCCTTTACTGGCATTAGAGACTAAGTCTTCAGGATTCCAGTGTATACTGAAGACCAGCCAAAATATTCAGCCTCATAGACCAAACTCCTGTATTTTTGAACCTTCCATTGGTAGTCAGTCATTGTTGAACTAGCTGGACTACAGCCTATAAGCCAGTCGAATAAATACACTTCCTATATATCCATAGGTTCATTTTTAGTCTGGGTTCTCTAGAGGGACAGTCATTTGATTAGTTCTGTCCCTCTAGAGAACCCTGACTAATATACCTACTCAACTCTTGACTCATCATTCTCCTCCCTAATTGAGGTTGTTCCTGGCATTACCAACACTGACATAAGAAGTCAAGCTCTAGTCCTGAGCTTGAGCTGCAGTGGATGGCTCTGAGACATTAGACTTGGCCTAGTCTTTGGAAAATGTCTGGCCCCAAGAAGCCAGTACCCTCCAGGAGTGTAGCGCTGGGATGAGCCTAAAGTGGCAGGAAGGGCTAGCTGGGCTGCAAAAGAGAGCCAGGGAATGTTCCTGTCCTGTGCCCTCCCATTCTCCTATGGGATGTACATAGTGTTGAGTCGTAATGGGAGGGGAAGGCAAGATCAGAGATGGGAAACTTGGATTCTGGGAAATTTTTTCAGGAATCCTGACCTGGAAGGGAAGAAGAGAAGGAGAGAGGAAGGAAGGAAGGAAGGGAGGGAAGAAGGGAGGGAGAGAGGGAGACCAGTTGGCCATGGCCAGAGAATGGTGTACTGTTGTCCTGGGTGTTTTCTTAGGTTTTGGAGAAACACAGCCCTGCTTAGAGGGACAGGAAGGGAACAGAACTGAAGAAGAGTACTTTCTGCAGACACAGGAAGCTCTAGAATCAAGGATCAGAGGAACAACAAAGAAGAGAGAGAAAATATAAGTGAGCCAGTGACAGTGACCACTGCTCTATTTCAGGTCTCAAATGTTCTCTGAAGGCCTACGTGGACCTTCCATGGGCAGCCAGACACTGTTGGACTAGCACAGCCTGTAAGCTAATCTAATAAATCCACTTTCTATAAATCTATAGATACATTTTCAGTTAGGGTTGTCTAGAGGGATATTCAATCAAGTTCTATCTTTGGACAGAACTCTGGGGATTTAAAGGCTTAGTACCCGGAGCAGGGCATGGGAGGGCAGGAGGAGGGGGGGTCTGTGACTATAAGATGATGTGGACTTTTGGGAGGTGGGGTCTGGGGGGGTGTTACGTTGGTGGGGTATGCCCTCTGAGGGAGGACATTGTGGAACCTCATTCTCTTACTCCCTTTTTGTTTGTTTCCTGTCTGATAAGGTGAGTGGTTTTGCACCCTCATGATGTACTCCATCAGCAGCCCAAAGCAATGGGGCCAGTTGACCATGGACTGAAACTTTGACCGCCAGCCAAAGTAAACTTTCTCTCTTTTTTTTTTAGTAGATTGCTTCAGATATTTTCTTATAGTGATGGTACGCTAATAGAGAACCTTCTGTGAAAGACATGATTTCACTGTACTGAACTTAGAAACCCCTGCTCAAAAGACAATGATGCTGCTATGGATTTGAAGGAGGGAAAAGCATGTTACAGTGGTGTTGTGACTTGAATATGAAATGTCCCCCATGGGCTTCTGGATTTGAATACTTGGTCCCCTGCTAGGGGTGCTATTTTGGAAGGTTTTGGGACCTTTAGGAGGTAGAACCTTGCTAGAGAAAGTACATCACTAGGGGTGGTCCTTAAGGTTAACATATATGTATATATACATTTGTAGGGCCCTGCATGAACCCCCGAGGCAGCTTGAGCAAGCCTGAGCTGTTGGCTGGAACATCTTGCACCAGAGTAATTCTTGGTACTCTTCTTGATTTGCTAACACACATCTGCTGGGGAGGAACTGAGCCTGAGAACTTGCACACTTGACCCTTGATTGTTTTCCACTGTGTTGTGAGTCAGTATATAAATCTGCACCTTCCTCTCAATAAATGGCATTTGGCATTCTAGCATTCCTGTTGCACATATGACCTGCTGTCTTTTATTTAAATCTCTAGACCTTTGCCCGATTAGTGGAACAGATTGTAGTGCGAGTGCTACAATACATATATATGTATACATACATTTATTTATACACACATACATGTATACACACATACACACATATACATACACACACACATACATAGATACATATATATCCTATTTCCCCTCTCTGCTTCTGAACCGCCCATATGATTGAGTGGGATGCCCTCATGCTCCTACCACCATGCCTTCTCCACCTTGGTGGACTGTCACCCTCTGGAACTGTGAGCCAAAATAGACCTTTTCTCAAAAGCTGTTTTGTCAGAATATTTTATCATAGCAACAGGAAAGCAACCAGGACGAGTGGCGTGCTGGGTATGTTTGTACAAATGGGTCTATTAGAATATTCCCTGCTAAAATGTTACTCTTAGATTTATTCGGAATCACCCAGGCCTGGTGGAGGGACAGCAAGAAGCATGAGTGGGCAAACGTAGCAAAGATCCTAAGAGTGCACTCAGCTCTCCCCTCTACTTTTGTGTATATAGTTTTTGTTTTATATGAGTGTTTTTGCCTGCATGTGTGTAAGTGCACTGTGTGCATACAGTGTCCAAGAAGGTCAGTTGGAACAGGGCATCAAATCCTCTGGAACTGGAGTTACAGATAAGACCATTGTGGGCCTCCTTGAGGGAGCTAGGAGTTGAACCTAGGTCATCTGTAAGAGAAGCAAATGCTTTTAACTGCTGAACCATCTCAGCCCGGTGTTGGTGGCAACACACCTTTAGTCCCAGCACTTAGGAGGCAGAGGCAGGCAGATCTCTGTGAGTTTGAGGCCAGCCTGGTCTACTCACTGAGATCTGTGTGCCTCCTGAGTGCTGAAGTTTTTTATAATATAACTCTAGTTGCCTGGTGGGATTATTAGCTAAAAGCAGAAGCCATGATGGGCTGGATGGGCAGATATAAAATGGTGAGGACGAGGAAGAGGTCTTCAGTCTAGACCTCTCTGCTGGAAGGCTGCGCTCCATGATCTGAAATGGCCTTTGAGGGACAGAAGAGGTTCAGACTTGCCTCAGTGAAGGGACTCCAGCCTAGAGTTAGGAAAGGCAGGAAGTGGTGGGCTGTTCTGGGAAGATGAGCCTACACACATATCCTCCCTATACTCTTTCTGCCTCGGGGCCTTCAGCCAGCCTACTCTGGGAGCCTCACTTAGGTTTGCTGAGATCCTTTACCCAGTGGAAGTTGGCAGCCTGGGGTATTTTGTGCAGCCTGTATCTACTTTTCTGCCCTGGCTCAGACCCTGTTCTCCAGAATCTGTGATGAGGTCTGACTTGGCTCCAGAATTCCTCTGGGGAAAAGACAGGGGGGGGGGGTCCACTCCTCAGCACTAATCCCTCACATCTGGATGAGGCTG